ACAGCTGTCCTGTCACTCTGAGGCTAATGTAGACAGACAGCGGGTGAAGAAACGATTGGACGCAGTGAGACATCGATTCAAATTGACAGGGGAACATGGAGATGATGATGAACTCTGTGTGCACTAGGTGATGAGAGAAATGCAGCCTGCTTGGGTTTCTATGGTAACATATCAAATCAGAGAGCGATTTCCAGAGCAGTTCGAGGACTGTACCTTCAGAATCATGAACAAATGTTACTACAACAAGATTGAATGGACTTTAATATGATTTTAAGGACAATCCGACATATTGTAGCAGGAAACTTCATCCATTAGTTATCTGTAACATGGAAACATGAATATCAGTTACATGGTCACAGATCTATCGATATGATGATTCCAGATATTCAAATTCTTGAGAGCAGTTGATCTTATTGGCTTCACACTTGGCTTGAGTGCAATCTGGACATGCAGAACGTTCAACATTAATAAACTCTGAATAAACAGGTGACCAACTCGCCATAGCAGCAGTGGCTGGGACTAATCAATTAAGACGACAGCTAGTTCACAACAATGGCAGTGACAACCGATTCTCCAGTTTGGGGTTCTGCGTACTGAGTCGAGCTTCACCCAGTTTTGAATAAAACAGGTGAATGGCTCTTTGTGCAGCAGCAGCAGTGGTGCAGCTTCGGTCTTATGTTGCAGTTCAATAACTGCAGGTCACTTCTACAGTTTCAGCAAAAAGCATCACCACAGGCCAAGCAAACAACCCAATCCAAACAGGCAGGTTTAGAACTGGCACTGGACTTGTTGAATAAATGGAGAATTATTATTTTTTTATTACCAAAATGTCAAAAGGAGGCTGAAAATATTCATCATGTCACAAAAAGGGAGGAAAACTGTTTCTCAAATACATACACTCCACGGGCTTCACATGGAGTTCACTCGATACACACCGACACACCAGACATGTTTACACAGACCAAGATCTCACAGCAGAAACCTTGGGGGTTTTGTCTTTGCCACAGGATCACCCCCGACCCCCTTCTTATATCCCTACATCCCCCCATCCACCCGTGTCCTTCTGAACTCTGTGAAGGTTCAAGTCAAGGGACTAAACTCCAGCTCAGCTTCTCAGGTCCGTCTGTCTCCCTTTGCAATGTTTTCCTTAGTTTAGGCCAATTTACTGCCTGCAGCCAAACCGTTACCAGTCGACTGTCGAGCCACCATGAGAATATTCCCACAACACACTCACATAGATGGTTTTCATGATCTGCAGCTTACACCGGCACTGAAACCAAATAAAACAACACTGAGCAGGACCTACACGAATGCTGCCAGCCCGCCTTATTGACAAGAGCATTAGCTTTACTATGTTGCTGACGCTGGTTCCATGTGATGCCTCATCATCAGTCAGACTTGATCGCGCCTTGGACAAATCCCAACCCAGCTATGCCCGTGAAGCTATAATCAGGTCTGGGAACAGAGCCGCCACCGGCCTCTCCGCACACAAAGAGCGGCCAAATCTCTGCCTCTTCTCTGTCCGAGCCTGTCAGCGAGACTGCGGCCCTGCTGTCTTTGATTGATGACTGCACTTCTGCGCATTTCTGAAGCCGACGCGCTGGCTCTGTTGGCTGGGAGTCGTCCCTGCTTTATTTAGTTAAACATTATTCTTATTATTCCTCTGAACAACCCTGCCGTTGAGTGTACATATGTGTGTGTGTGTGTGTATATGTGCGCACACAGGGAGGGGTTTTTCCATGCCCTCAGCTGTCCAGGTATGTGTAATGAAATCTTGAGCTCTGTTTTGAAAACCATGGGAGTTCCAGTCATTCTCACATTTGAGGGTTTTTTTTCTCAGCTCCCTTCTTCTCCCCCTTCCCTCTCACCCACTTGCTGCTCCCATGGAACAATCCACCCAAGGTTACTTACCGCTTCGTTTGCAGAGCTTTCAAAAAACTAAAATAAACACAGGTTTTTTTAAAAGATGGGGAACACCAAGCATCTTGACCATTTTGTGTCCAGACCAGAAACAAGCTCTTAATTGTAGAAAAGCTGCATGACTGAGTGTCTACATGTGCGTCTGAAACAAGCATGTCACTTATCTTTCAGTTTCTTGCAAGTGAGCATTTTTTGCTCCAAGTGTGCAACCACTGCTTGTATTCACATTTTGCAGGTGCAGAAAAAGAAGGAGCAGCTGTTCGGGAACACAAATGCAAGCACAATCCCCCACACACACACGCACACACCTCATAAAATGTTAGGGAGTGTGCACAAACACTAAAACAGAGATGTGCTTGTGATAAATGGGTGTTTAAACCAGCAAACTACTGCACGTGACTCGAGATGTAGATTCACTATTTTTTTTACGTGAACATAAAATCCCTCAAATAAGAATCAATCTGAAGTTGTGTTCAGAGACTATAGTCCCAGCTCATCTTTTAGCTTTATTCTCTCAGATTGTAAGTACTGACAGTGAATCTTCATCACCCTCTCTGTCCAGTGTCAGCACATGATGAGATTGATGTGCGATGACAGTTGAGGGATGGAGCCGCAACAGCATTTCTCACTCAGGCAGATGGAGATCAGCTCTACACCAGTCGCTATCTCATATGTCTGTCTGACACTTGTCTGAGAATGATTAAATGGACACACAAATATGTCCATTGTGCAGACTTTAACGTGTCTATCTATCTGCAATCTAATTTACTACAACTGTGGGTTTTATCCAAGCAATTACCAAGTGAAAAAATCTAATAAATAAACTAAATTTGTGAATAAACTGCAATTATTATGTGAAGTCTTCATCCAACTTCATGTATATTTCCAGACTGACAGCCAACAGAACCTTAAACATCTTAAATATATGCATATATTCTATCTCCATGTGTACATTTTATTAAACCACATACGTTGTCCTTTTTAGCAATAGGCTATATCATTGTTTTCAAAAATTACACCTGTCCCTATTGTACATATATATCATTACATATATTGTATTTAATATATATTTCGATAATATATATTTGTTATTGTCACAATAACTGATTTGATCTGATTTTTGTTAATGGACCGATAAGATTGCTACTTAATTTCATTTTAATCTGTGCAATAACATTCTCAAGTTGAAACAGCACTAAAAAGCTGACCATTCATACACCAGCCAAAGCCCAACAGTCCCCAAACATTCAGTCAAGCTGCACCACGTTTCACACATAGATATCAGCTCCCTAAATATACCTTATTATTATATCCATGAATTATTCCCTGGGAAAATGGTGAAAAACCCCCCTATCAAAATAAAATGTAAGAAGTCCTTCCTTGACCCACACCACATTCTTCCATCAGTTTTCGGGAAAGTCTGTTCAGGTGTTTTTGTGTAATCTTGCTGAAAAAGGAACAAACAACAAGGGCGAAAACATAACCTCCTTAGAACAGGTAATACATGTGTAAGGTTGTATACATGTAGCCAACAAAGTCAAAGTAAACTCCAGATTCACTCATTGGATACTATGAACCAAGGAGGCATTTCATCCACTAAACCCTTCCTCTGATGCCTAAATCCTAATCTGTGTATCCTGGCATGCCAAAGTGCACATACGGCCGTTCAAGTGTGACTGCAGCTCCACATGTGCCGCTACGTCGTGGTAATTGACAGATGTGTCTGCTCCCGTGCACCTGCAAAAACAAGCCAGGCTGCGGCAGGTTAGCTGACTGTGTCTGTCTGTCTTTCTTTTTATTGTAACCTGACTCTCCGCTCTGCGTGAAGCTCTCAGACCTGGAACGACGAGGAGAGGAGAGGAGAGGCCATCTCTTCCCAGACCGGACCGGACCGGAATAAAGACGAACGACTAACTTGTTTTTCTCACCTGAATGTAACGCATGTCTGCATCAAGTTCACGGCAGCGGTCTGAGCTGATGGGGTAAATAATATGGCTGAAATCAATATGATTAACAATCACTCTAAAGATACAGTTGATCAAGTTAGATTTTTCCCCCACTTGGTCATTTGAGACCAGACCCAACACAACCCTGATGGATTTATTCAAGGAAGTCTGAGATTTTTCTTTCAGTGGTGCCATCAGGCCTCTGAACCACAAACAAAGGAGATGATTAAAGCAACTTAATCACAGTCTCTGCTACTGCTCATATTAGGCTGGATGCCAGTAACTATAGCAGCAGTATTACTTTAAAAGAGAAGTAAACCATCAGTGTGATATTCTCAAAGTACAACCTTATGGAGCAGCAATAATCTATAAACCGTAGCATCAGGGGAGCTGGTCAAAAATAACCCGAAAAATCATTCGGAGATGTCACCAGGGGGAAACGTCTGGAAAATCATAATGACTTGTGCCAAAAACACAAATCGCTTCAATACAGTACAGCAGCTGTCACGACCTGGAGCTTCCCACCGGGGGACGTGACGGGCATGTACGGCAAACGGGTTGAGAACTATGGGGGAAAACTGACATGCAGGCAACAGTAACATGATTCACCTTTTGTTTGCTGTTGCAATTGAGTTAATCCAAAGTTAAAGTCTGTCTCATGAAGTGTTGACATGGGAACATCACCTGTCACCTGTTTTGGCCGACTCCCTAATCCAGCGACCAAAGCCAGAACCAAACAGGGATTGCGATGTGATGTAGTATTGTGTGTGTGTGTGTGTGTGTGTGTGTGNGTGTGTGTGTGTGTGTGTGTGTGTGTGTGTGTGTGTGTGTGTGTGTGTGTGTGTGTGTGTGTGTGTGTGTGTGTGTGTGTGTGTGTGACCAGATAAAGCAGCATACCATTGGGAGCCAAACATCACATTAGATGCCAAAACACACTCACATGATCTTCTGCTTTCTCAAAAAAGATGACAGCTGACAAATATGTGACACTAATAGCTCAGTAAGTGTTCCTGTGATTATTCACTATGATGAGGTCGGTTATAATTTGCCACACACAGCGTTCCGTGACTGAATCTTTAATTTATGGGTTAATGTTACACTGATAAGAGAGATCACTCTAAGGGCCTGACTCACCTGATATGATCTATGCAAACCCAGCTCCTTCTGTTCTGTCACTGCAGCATCCTCCTCGTCTTCCTCTGTCCCCTGGGTTTAAATCTCAAAAGCAATGAAGTCGGCACATTTCCAGGAGGACGGCCTCATATGTACGACACTAAACGCTCTCTGCCTTCTCCAGAATCTATGGGGAAAAAAAAAAATACATATGAAACCAATTTTACAATCTGTCATCAAAAACGCAGGAAAAACACGAAACAAGGCCGAAATTGACTTCATCTGTTCCCCCCCATCTCCTCTGGCAGTCTCCTAGTGGCACACGCTGTCACTTGCCATTTAGCCGACGAGCGCGGATTTCAAGCGCAGAATACGGTGCGGCGGCAGCGAGGTCCACAGAAGGACAGACACGCTGGAGAGTTCGGAACAAAGCTTTTCAGATTAGTCTGCAGAAAGATCAAACTGTCAGAGGAGATCACGCTCATGTGTTTTCAGTGCGGTGAAATACAGAGCGCCCTTCTTTCTGCGGAAACGTGAACTTTAAAATCACAGAAAAAGAAAGAGCCAGTGTCATAAAACATATTCCTCTAACCGTGAGCCAATGTTTTATCAGCAGAATAACACTGAGTCACAGCTGGGTGCGCTGCTGAACACACAGCCAGGAGTGTGGAGTCTTGGACTTTCCCTCTCTGCAGATGAAACAGGTGACTTATGCTGGAGGTCTGGGTGGTCTGGCTGACCCGTCTTTTAATAAACTGCTAACTAAAGAGCGTAATTATGGGTTGACATCCTGCCTGCTCCCTGCCAGTCAGATGTGTGTGTGTGTGTGTGTGTGTGTGAGAGAGAGAGAGAGAGAGAGGGACAGAATGCGTTTATAAGTGCAGATTGTAATATTGGACTGGACATATGTGATGATCTTCTCAAGCAGTAAAAACACTTTTTTGAGTGTATTCTTTGCCTTTTCTGCAAATCTACTGTTTTCACACTCTTAACACACATGCTCCCCCACAAACACACACACACACAGCTGTCTCTTATTTGCCAGGATCCAGCCGCAGATACAGTGTGAACTTTAACACATGGATTCTTGACATTCTTTAACGGTGTGAGTTACTCTCTCCTCCGACTCAAACTGGTGCTCGGCCCGGGGCGAAGCTTCACTCTCCTGCCGGCAGGTCACTGTCACTGAAGAAGTTCCCGAGCTTTTCACACGCGCACGGTGCAGCAGGAGATTCCAGCTCAGGTGCGTTTACAACAAATCTCCAGAGCATTCAGGTGAGGGGTGGTGCAGCAGGCAGAGGCTTAACGTATCTATTTTTCTGCAGAGATCATGTGACATCATTGTAACAGCACATCAACACCAGAGTCAGCCTTATCACCAAAAGCTCTCATTTGCACACATTTTACTCGGGGGCTGGCCGGAGAAAGTCTTGAGGCTCTCAGTTGCACATATTCAGCCTCTCCGATTAATTTCCAGAGGATCCCCGGTGTTCAGTGCATGTCTGAAAGCACCTACTGTATGTGCGGACTTCTCTGGGTTTTCCACAGCCATGAGTGGTTTTGACTCCCTACTCTCGACCCAGGTTGTCTGCAGTCCTGTCATCATATTCTGCTGTTTATGACGGCTCCTTCAGTGGCCTAATGAAATGATGCCGCACGCTCACTGTTGAAATCAAGGGACAGAAATATGCAGTGAATCCACGTCGGAGATTCTCTGAGCTGCAATTTATGACGTATCTTGAGTTTTTGACAGTAACAATTACCTAAAATCATAAAAACGTAAGTCTGTCAAAATTGCGGTATAAGTTACATCATAAAAACGACGCTGTGAGATGAAAATCATTCATCGTCAGACTTCCACGAGCTCTGCTGAATCACTCAGGTGAAATTAAAGCTTCGGAGAGTTTCTAAAATTTACAATGCTCTACCAGGGAGGCTGATCTCGTTCATATCCAGCAGTCCGCTCAGCAGACGGAGGCTGCGTCTCACCTGATGCTTCAGTCGAGAAAACGGGATTCTATTATCATCAGTGTGGTTTATTTTACATAGCCCGTCCATGTGCTCAGCAGAAAGTCAATTAGCTTGGCACTTTGGAGGCAAATTGCTGCCGAGAGAGCATTACAATCTGAAAACGCACAAACAATCAAGCACACACCCACACACACACACACAC